TAACTCTTCATGGATACTTACATAAACTTAGCCCATCATTGATCAATAGCCCAAATAATACTTATATCACTGATTTTACATAATCAGTCCCCGTTAGTTTAATTAGTCTCTTTTGATAACTAAATTAATTCCAAATTAATTCTTGATCAATACTAATTAAATATTATGATCTCTCAGTTAATACATTATACTTATAATATATTAGTACATCATAAATAGCCTCTTTCTCAAATATCCATCCTATCAGATTGATCTGGTGAAGTCAACCCAAATGGACCATGCTACTCTCGGGTCAAGTACATACCAACTATAGTTATGGGCTTAGACATCTAATCCAACAAAAACGCAAAGTTGAAATGTACCCACTGAACATGAACCTTATCCGAGGGAAGCCTGCCATTTGCCTGCTGACGAAAGCACCTATAGATGATAGTTGGCTATGGCATCGAAGACTTTCACACCTCAACTTCAAAGATATCAACAAGCTTGTTCTTGGTGATCACATGTGAGGGCTTCCTCTCTTAAAATAAGACAAGGACCATGTCTGTGCTGCATGCGAAATGGGGAAACAAAGCAGGAAGAGTCGTCCAACTGTAGTGAATATGAAAGTCATTGAACCACTCGAACTTCTGCACATCGACCTCTGTGGTCCTTTTACGATTGAAAGTATTGGTGGTAATAAGTATATTCTTGTTATTGTAGATGATTTTTCTCGTTTCACTTGGGTGTACTAAGCAAAAATCTAAAGCCACTCCAAAGTTAAAAGACTTCATAAAGCAGATTGAGTTACAATTACGAAAGCTGGTTCGCAACATTCGTAACGACAATAGGTTGGAATTCAAAAACCAAGTGTTTGAAGAATTTCTAACTACGAAAGGAGTAACACATAACTTTTCTGCTCCTTATACTCCACAACTGAATGGGGTCGTTGAAAGGCAAAACCGCTCACTGTGTGAAGCTGCGAGAACCATGCTTTCTTTTGCGAATCTGCCTCTCTACTTCTGGGCCGATGCGATAGGAACTGCATGCTTCACCCAAAACCATTTAATCCTCAACAAGTGATTTTCTGTCACTCCTTATGAAATCATAAACAAATGAAAACCTAACATAAAGTTTTTCCATGTGTTTGGTTCCAGGTGTTTCATCTTCAAGTCAAAAGAACAAATGAACAAATTCGATGTGAAAGCTGACGAAGGTATCTTCTTGGGATACTCGCTGACCTCCAAGGCATATAGGGTTCTCAACAAAAGATCCAAGAAGATTGAAGAAACCTGCTATGTCACATTCGATGATAATTATTTAAAGAGGTTTCAAAAAGCTGATTGTCAAACAAAGGAGATCTTTCCACAAGTGAATGCAACAACAATTCCTCTCTCTACTCCCTACAACGAATTTCTGAATCTTTTCGACGAACTAGAAAAAGCAATTTTGTCCGAGTCCAAGGCAGTTGACAACAAAGTTGATGAATTGACGAAAATTATAGATGACGCTACGAAAGATATGAACCAAGATTCACAAAGTACGAATATCCCTCAAGACACGAACACAACAGTCCAGAGGGAGAGTTCCTCTTCAACCACAACACCGAATACACCGGTTCAGGGGGAGAACGAAACCCATGATGTTAGTTTAGAACTACCTTTCCAGGGGGAGAATCTGAATCCAGAAGATGACGATCATACATCATTCGAGGGGGAGAATGGAAATGCGAATGATAATTCAGATATTCGATCAGAATTTGAAGAAGTGAATGCGGAATTGGATCCATCATATGATCCAAACTACCCTCCCTTAGCTAAATGGACCAAAGATCATCCGAAAACTCAACTAACTGGAGATTCTTCTTCAGGCGTTCTTACGAGAGCTCAACAAAAGGCGAAGAGAACTGCACTATTCTCTAAAGTATAATTTTGCATGTTCAATTCGTTCATCTCCAAAATTGAACCTAAAAATGTTCAAATTGCTCTTGATCATTCTAATTGGGTTCAAGCAATGTAGGAGGAGCTTAATGAATTTGAACAAAACAAAGTCTGTAGACTCATTCCTACTTCGAAGGATGCTTTTGTTGTTGGTCTCAAATGTGTATTTCGCAAAACGTTAGACAAAGAAGGCAACGTCATACGAAACAAGACACAACTGGTTGTCAAGGGATATTGCCAGGAAGAAGGCATCGACTACGAAGAAACCTTCGCACCAGTTGTAAGGTTAGAATTTGTTTGTATCTTCTTGGCTTATGCATCACACAAAAACTTTGAAGTATACCAAATGGATGTCAAATGTGCATTTCTAAATGGAGAACTTGAAGAAACAGTGTATGTGGAACAACCACCTGGGTTTATAAATGAAAAATATCTCAACCACTGCTATATTCTAGACAAAGCAGTTTATGAGCAAAAACCGCACTGCAACTAAAATTAACCACATAAACCGCAAACCGATTAACCGCAACCGCAATAAAAACTGATGGTGAGGTTCTGTGTTTTTCAAAAACCGCAAATTTGCGGTGCGGTGCATTATTAGTTTTCAAAAACCACAAAAAAAAACCGCACCGCACCGCATATATTATATACAATTTTTTTATTAATGATTAATATATTAAATATTAAAAATAAGATAAGTTTCATGGATGAAAGAAGGATAATATTCTAGAAGACAAAAGTGTTGATTTTTTCGTATGTTTAACTTTGGAAAATGGTGAAATTTAACAATTTTAAGATATTTATTGTTAATTACTAGTGATTAAAAGTTTTTAAGATATTAGTTGTTTGTTTTAAGTTAATTGTTTTATAACTTATGGTTTTTTATTATTATTACAAGTAAGATGTTTAAACTCTTAAAACTTTTTGAACTCTAAAGTGCGGTTAAAAACCACACCAAAGCCATGCGGTTAATAACTGAAACACACAAAAACAAAACCGCACCACAAAAATAACCACCTAACCGCACCACAAAAATAACCGCCTAATCACACCGCAAAAATAACCGCACCAAGCGGTTTTGAAAATGGATTAACCGCATTTGCGGTTAGTGGTGAGGTTTTGGCCAATAACCACACCGAACCACACCGCGCTCACCCCTAGTCTATGGTCTGAAGTAAGCTCCAAGAGCCTGGTACGAAACTCTTACTTGTTTTTTGAAACAGGCTAAGTTTAAACAAGGTTCGGTCGACCCAACCTTCTTTCGCAAGAAAGATGGTGACCACTTGATGATCGTCCAAATCTACGTTGATGCGATCATTTTCGGTTCCACTAACCCAAGCTTAACCGCAGAGTTCTGAAAATTGATGGAAACGAAGTTTGAGATGAGCTCCATGGGTCCGATTAACTTTTTCCTTGGCTTAAACATAAGGCAGAGTCAGGACGATCATTTTTGGAATGGTGGGAAACTCAAAGGTGAAGGTTCCAATGGCATTCAGAACGAAACTAACTCCTTCATGTCTGTCATCTCAATCTTTCACACTACCAACATCATTCTTGATGACAACTCCAAGTTCCATTTGTTGGCTCCATTCCTGAAGCCATGTTTTGCGATGTCCCTACAGCAAGCAAAATTCTTGAAGCCTACAGAAAACTTCCAGTTTCAGGCTTTCGTCCTTTAACTCCTAAGATGCAATCGATCATCGATGAAGTTGACAAACCAAAGAAAGGAGGTCAGAAAGGATGTAAGAAAGGAGAAAAGAAACAAGGTGCTCAAGAGGATCCGTCTGAACCTGCTAAAACCCCTAAGAAACGAAAGGCACAAGCTGGCTCATCTGCCCCAGCTCCTACTCCTACAAAGAAGCGAAAAGTAAAGTAGCCGGCTCGCAGGCCACGAACTCCAACTCCCAGTGAAAGCAAAGGTTCGCAGTCTGACACTCACTCAGACGTTCACATTGAAGAGGATGAGCCTGTACAACACGAAGACACTGCAACAACTTCACAACCTGAGGTTTCGCAACCGATTTCTACGAATCTTGAGGTAACTGTTGAGATTCCTGTCTCAGTTCCTATTACCACTGACTTCGTTGAGAATATCTATATTCCTTCTCCCACTGCCACTGTTTCCACACCCATTAATATTGCTCCATGCCCACCTGTCTTATTGGGCGTTTCGCAATCCCTACCTATTTTCACCGATTCCACTACCACACCAACAACAACTGTTGAGCCTCCTGTTTCTGTTAACGCATCTGATGCGGGGGCAGGAGCTTTAGGTTTCGCAAATGGTCATTCCACACCACCCATTTCTCCTCTTCGCCAAAATGACCCAGACATGATTTACGGTGATGATGATGACGACTTTGCAGGATTCACCTACAGTCCATTCAACATCAGGACCGAAAGTGATGACGAAGCTCCCGTCATGAGAGGGCAACTCAAGGAAATACATGAAAAACTGGATTTGTTGCTTCAAGCTTCAAAGGCATCATCCAGCAATGATTATTCACATGCAACGATCAAGTCCCTTCTTGAGATCCTTACAAAAGAGCACTCCGCCAACCTTGAAAAGATGAACAAGGCAGTAGATGCTTCTGCTACTGTTTGCAACAACACGACCAAAAAAGTTGATAAACTAATTACTGATGCAAGGGTATTCATGGAGAAGTTCCAGAGTTCCTTTGAGTCCAATACCGCAAAGGCTAATGAAGTAATTTCTAGCCTGGGCTCAACCCTTAAAACAGAGAAGGCGAAACTTCAAGAGGTTCGCACTGGTCTTAAAACAGACCATGGTGAGTTCAATTCATCCATCTCCTCACAGAGATCTAAGCTTCAAGATGACTTAGCTATGGAGAGAAAATAACGGATGTTCTTTCCGTAAAGACTGAAAAGGTGAAAGTCTTGACAGTCAAACTCGAGAATGCTGAGAAACAAGTCAATGATTTGTTATTTGAAAAAGCAGTTATGAAAAGCTGTATCGCAGAAGTAAATGCACTGCTTTCAGATATCATTGAGACTCGTGACTCAATGATCACCATCACGGTGAAGAAGCATCTTTCTGAGAAACTAAGGCCCGTCTTCGCCATGCTTCACAGACTAGAAGGTGTTCCGGAATCAAGCTCTATTCCGAAACAAGGGGGAGAAGGGATGACATCAAAGAAAGAAAACCCCAAAACTTCAGTCAAGTACACTGTTAAAAGCGAAACTGATCTTAAAGGCAAAGAAAAGATTTTCAGTGAAGAACCAATTGTTGACAACAGTGAAGATGAAAAGCCTGATGAAAATGAGCTGAAAAGGGGAAAGGACCGTGAAGCTCAGATGGATGAGCATCAAAGAATAATCTGCGAGGCTGAAGCAAAAGAGAAAGTTGAACGTGAAGCTCAGGTCACATTGGAAAGCCGAAAGCTTTTGTAACATCCAGATTTCCAGGTATCATAAGTTGAGTATTATTTTTGAGTCAAGGAGAGGGACTCGACGAGTTGACGCCTAGACTCGTCGAGTAGGATCACAATTCTGACTAGGATTAATGAATGGACTCGACGAGTCGGCGGGTCGACTCGACGAGTCCGCGCTGTTGACAGAAACCCTAAATATTTGGGCTTGAGCCCTATTTAAACGCATTTATAGCCTTCAATTGCGGCTACCTTCCCAGAAGAGAGAACCCTAGCGAGCTTGAGTGTGTAGAGTGAGAGCAAGAGCTATCTTGAGCTTTTTGGTGTGATTTTGCAAGAAAGGAGAAGAGTTCCAGCAAGAGGGGCCAAGGAAGGTTATTGTTCTGAGTCATCCAATCAAGGATCTTCTTTCTGAGGTACAAAATCGAACCCCTTTCCTTCCCTATTGTGTACATTCCATTTTTGGGGTTTAGGGCTTGAATCACTTCATCTTTGGGGTTTTGAATGCCTCAAACCCCTCTTGCTAGTTTGTGTTTTAGATCTGGACCCTTCTAGGTCCAGAGAGTCGAGAATATGAAGCTTTAGTAGAGTAAAACCTTAGGGTTTGAAGCTAGGAAGCATTTATGGGCTTTTTATGGTATATTATGCAAGATACACCATGCATGGACACCAAGTTAAGACCTTTACGTGATTTTTGGGTGTTAGAAGGCCAGATCTATAAGTTAGAGAAACAGATCTGACCTCAGAAGGTCATTTGAGCATTCTCATGGAAGAAACTCGCCGAGTCCATGAGCGGACTCGACGAGTCGGATCGGGTTGCCCCGCGATTCGTGACCAGTGGTAACCCGTTGAGTTGAGAGGTTAACTCGACGAGTCGAGTGAGGCCTTAGGAGGAGTCAGAGGACACGTATGGACTCACTGAGTCACCCAAGTGCACTCGGCGAGTCTGGTCAGAGTTGGACCGTTGACTGGAGTTGACTTTCGTTGACTTTTAGGGTTGGTCAGCATTTGATAATTGGACCATTGGAGGGGTAAAATGGTCTTTTACCCTTCTGGGAGATTATAGGAAGGGATTAGTCTAGCCTATGAGAATCGTTGTTAATGAGAGATAAATTACTTTATGTGATTAGGTGGAGGCTAGATCGGGGATATCGAGCACGAAAGTTTACTAGACATCATACGAGGTGAGTCTTCTCACTATACCTTACCTAGGATGGTAATTATGTGTGACCGGAAGGTCTTATATGCTATGACGAGTATGTGATATATGTTTCTATGTTTCTATGTATATGTTATGTATGTATTGAGTAGCATGGTATGGACCGGAAGGTCAGTATGGTATGGACCGGAAGGTCAACAGAGTATGGACCGGAAGGTCAGCAGTGTATGGACCGGAAGGTCAATATGGTATGGACCGGAAGGTCGAAAGAGTAGGACCGGAAGGTCTACTCGGATTGTGGGACCGAAAGGCCCCTGAGACACATGGACCGGAAGGTCTTGTAGAGCTACAGCCTCGAGTGGCTTATATGCTGTATGTAGTATTTTGGGGAACTCACTAAGCATGCGTGTTTACCGTTTATGTGATATGTGTTTTAGGTACTTCAGAGGACCGCAGGAAGGCACCGGCATGATTGTACACATACGCACTATGTTTTGGGAAGAGCTACCGTGGATCCTGGATTTTTATGAGATGATTTGAAAACTTTGTTAAATGAATGATTGATGTTGAACAATGATATATGTTTTTATGAATTAAGAATGAAAATTTTGGTTTGAATTTTCACGATGTTACAGCTTTTATTTCCACAGTGGACTCTGAAGCGAATTCAAAATGAAGCTGTGGATATGCCGAGTCAATATTGGCTGGAACCGGTTGTGTCATTCGAGCTGGACCTGCCAATAACTCCGAAAGCCTTCAAGTTTCGCTCCTTTGTGAAAGTAGTGAATGTTCCATCGACAAATAGCGGCGCTGATCATTTGCTCTTCTTGTTTTATCTCAAGCATATGAAGCCACAATACGAAACATGGAGTGCTAGCAAGATTACAGCAGTGAAGGTCACAGGTCCAATCGAAACCGACAGCTTCCCAAATGTGAAGTTCAAGGTTGTGAGAGGTTCTTCCAGTCAGGTCCACGAATTCACTCTCGCAGACCTGCCTTGTCTCAATCCCTATGATTGGATCATTCTTTACAACTTATTGCTGAGAGATGGACAGAAGTACGAGCCCGTTATTGCTCACCTCAAACAGATGTTAGTTTCGTATGTTAAAGAGGTAGGCAAAATGGATGTGGAAATTGCTGTCGTACTGCGAAGGAAGCCCACTGTTCTCCCTAAAGAAGTCCCATAAGATTTTAAGAAATTGAAGCTTGGGAAGATACACAAGGAAGGATGGTATGTGGCATTTTAGATGCGAGAACAAAACGATGCAGACGTTCATAAGGCCTGTTTCTTCCTCCCTGATAAGCATCTGTACACTACCGCTTGCCTGGAGTATGTTTTGGACATGGTCAACAAGTAAAAGGGTAACAACAAAGGCGACAATAAATGTTTTTCGGATATGATTCTATGGTACATCCAGGTTCGCAAGGTTCTTCTGAGTGTCATTCCGAAAGTTTTTGAAGTGCAGAAGCGAACTCAGCTTTGATGGACTCTCGCCTCAATTGACGCAAAGGGGGAGATTGTTGGGTATATGTGTTGCGTCATTGTGTTTGTTTATTTAGTCCATTTTGTAAATGGGTTGGGCTTGTCCACCCGTCATTTATTATTCGGGTTATAGTATTTAAGGTGCATGCATGCATCACATTTTGTAACTTTGAAGATAGTCTTGTAACCCTACACGCCTCTACAGTAGCAATTCTTCATCGAGTTCTTCTGAGGCTGTGGCTTATAACCATTCAACATATTTTGATCTATTTGCCTTGTTCTTATTATTTACTTGTTTAAATCTATTCGATCTAACTAGGATTCAATCCTATCATCTAGCTTCTTTTTGAGTCATTCTTGGTTTTGAGCATGCTTTGAAGCTAAGACTTCGGATCTAGACACTACTAGGCCCTTTAGGCCTAAGGACTCAAGCTTTATCAAGCTTTGGCCAACTTCCATGCCTTAAACCTCTTGTTGAGCCTTGTTTTGGCAAGATTAGTCCCTAGATGCCATGCATGGACGTAAAGCTTTCCGCTTTACATGGTATCTCAACCCTAAAAGACTAGATCTATAGTTTGGAGCCTTGGGTTCGCTTAAAAGCGTCTGAACGAGAAAAGGGCTGAAGGAACTCGGCGAGTTGGGTAGCCAACTCGACGAGTTGGTTAGGGTTTTACCCGATATTCTAGACACTGTGCAAGCTCGACGAGATGGCGAGACAACTCGACAAGTTAGCTCGAACTTTCCCAGTTTTCAGAGAACAGTTGGAACTCGAAGAGTTGCATAAATGCACTCGACGAGTTGAGTCTACATGGACTGTTGACTTGAGTGTTGACTTCCATTGACTTTTAGGGTTTGGTCAAGTTGTGGACTTTGGAGACCATGAAGGGGTAAAATGGTCTTTTACCCTTCTGAGGTTTAGAAGAAGAATTAGCCTAACATCTTTGGGGGTTGTTAATATCAATTATTAATTAGAGATGATTGTGATATATGATATGCGGAGTCTAGACCGGCAGTCCGAGTGCGAGGCATACTTTTCTTTACTTACAAGGTGAGTCTTCTCACTATACTTACCTGAGTGGTAATCACTGTGCGACCGAAGGGTCTTATCTGCGTTATTGCCCGGAGGGTCTTATGTGCTTATACTGAGATATATGATATTATGCATTCTATCTTTGTGATTTATGTTGTATATTATTATGTGTATTTATTGAGATAGGACCAGAGGGTCCAAACCGAGTCGTGAGACCGGAGGGTGTTCACTGAGTTACAAGACTATAGGGTCAAACCCGAGCCGTGAGATCGGAGTGTCATCACTGAGACACATGACTGAAGGGTCCTTATCGAGATATAGCCATGAGAGGCTAACTATTTGTGTGTGGTATTTTGGGGAACTCACTAAGCATCGTGCTTACAGTGTTGTGTGATATGTGTTTCAGGTACATCTCAGGATCGCGGGAAGGCGCCGGCATGATTGTACACACTAACTGGTTGATTTGTGTTTTGAGGATTTTGGGATATTTGACAACGATTTTCATGTCTTGTGTTTGAAACATTTATAACTTGAGTATGAGAGATGTTAAACTGTGTTTTGTGTGGAATCAAAAAGTAAAAAATTTATTTGAAAATTTAGAGTGTTACAAAAAATCTAGTTGAAACTCATTTATTTTCTCTATTCCTATTTATGTATATAAAATTGTATTCTTTATACAAATATTTGGTATTTGTGTGAGTTAATTTGATTAATTTGATATATATAGGAGTGTGGATTTAAAGAAAAGATTTATATGGTTCTTGGGAACAACAATTATGAATAAATCATTTGTTTGTTTTGTGATACTAATGTTTGACGCTTTTGTATCTCATATTATTGAGTAGGTACAAAAAAGGAAAAAATTATAGTGGGATATACATGACAATACTATAAGTATTTTTTTTGTTACTTTTTATATTACTATGTCAATTTATTTTATTTACTAGGGAAGCATTATAACTGTGAGATAATTTTCATTTAATAATGTACTTATATTGTATTGACTGTGTGATTCTCTTCAAATATTTGTGAACAAAATACCTAAATTACTTTGGATTTCATGCAAAGTGTTATAAAGGTCTAAACTAGATGCTCCCATTAATCTCATTTTAATCCCAAAATAGCAATGTACTTTCATTGTTTCATTTATTATAGTATACTACATTTGGACAAGTGTTTGACTACTGGGACAATGAAAAAGAGAATGGAAGCTATTCAAATTGATCATGGAATAAAGAAATATCATGATGCAAATATTTTTTTTAAATATAGTAATGAACTATGTGCAGATTATGGATCTCTAATTCCCAAATTTTCATAAAATAATATGCCCAACAGATAAAGATGGAG